GGGGGGGGGGGGGGGAGGTGACAAAATCCTTTGATTTTAGGGCTTTTGCAGGTGATGCAATGACTGAGGGAGAATAGTCCTAACCTTGGCCCGCCGCCTGTGGGGCAACCTGGACCACACCTTTCTTCAGGCCCAACCCAGCGCCGCCAGGGTAGCTCGGAGTTCTCAGGTCACCTCTTGGAGAATGCGCTTTCTTGAGTTCCTTCTTCGCGTCAGTCTCACGTTTTCCCACCCCGCCCATCTAGACCAGGTGGGGTTTCCTCCATCACACTCCTACGGGGCATCGAGTCAGTCATCAAGTCAGTCTGGTCTATATATTGTCTCCTCAACGTTTGTTCCTGTCGCTCAATGCCTGGGCACCTACGACTTGGGTTTCCACTTCGCCGAAGCAGACACCCCGAGTGTAAACCCTTCCGTAAAGACCGGCGATCGCCGCGGTCGCTCAGAGCAAGATTTGCAGGCTTCACTGAAGAACCCGCTGTGTTGCTTGCTGGGAAATGTTGTACCTGGGTTGGCCTCTTTACTTTGTTGCCGCGGCTGGCGTCAGCCGGAAGACTACAGTTCCCAGCATGCCCAGGGAGAGAAAGGATGACCCAGGTCGGCGGCTCCACGTGACCACCCACTATGGCTTCCCTGTGCCGGGGCCAGATGTCTGGTAGTTCGGTGTGATTTGTAAGCTCTTTGCTGTGGGGTACCCCTGCCCTCCGCGCCACGATTTCGACATGCAAAAAATCAAATCTCTCATGACCCGACAGGTAAGTCGCAGCGGCCGAAGCTAAGGCCCCTTCGTCTCAGCTGGGAGAGGAACAGAGAGATGTTCTGTGCCCGGGCCGCGGCGGGCGGAGACCTAAGTAATAGGTGGAGGCAGGTGTCAGGGGGACGGAGAAGCCGGGGCACACCCAGGAAAACTTACCTGATCTGCCTGAATCCTAACCCTGCCCCAGCGGGAAGCGGCCTCCCAGAAACATTTGTAGACAAGGGTTATGGGGAAGTCAGAGGCTGTCTTTGTCTCCCGTCCTCCCCATTTTGCCATCTTTCCAGGACAGCCTAAGCTGCCTTGCATGGTACCCCGCATCCAGGCTGTCTGTCGTCTGCGAGCAGGTGGCCTAGGTGGGGAGGTGAGATCTGTGCAATAGGGATGACCTGGAAAGAGCGGATGATTTGAAGACAGAATTGGTAGCTTCTTGATTTTGGGTAAGACCCCAAACCTTGTACCTTAAATTTCAGAACGTAGAAATGAGCATACTAATTGTTTTTGTTCATTCTATCTCACATTTCTCTTATGGAGTCCTCAGTAAGCAAATATATGTTAAAACTCTTTGTGAAATGCTACTTTTAAAATTATTATTGTCACGGCAGTGTAATGGTCTATTCTATGCTAGAATGACAAATCATGAATAAATCATGAGCTTTGGCTATTTTGTAACCTGTTTCATAAATGTTAGGGACTTCCTAATAGTGCTTCGGCTTCCTTTAAGCAAGAAGTGACAGAAATTTCATTTTATGTATTTATTCATCACTTGGTTTTAGATAGCTTTATTTCAATTCAGTATTTCACTAGAATTGGTCAATATTATTTAGTATGAAAGAAACAATTTAGATTGTAATTTTAAATCAATGTGGCTTTCAAAAGTTTGGAGAATGTGGAGGATAATCATTTAGTGAAAGGTTCATTTGTGAGTTTATTTTGTTGATTTAAAACAATAGAAATTCCAAATTCTTATTTGGTAATTTAGAATTTGAGAGGTATCTGAACAGGTTACAAATAAACATCTCTGGTGGACAATACACAAATGATCTTCTCATGATTATTTTAATTTTGTCAAATCATATTGCTAATGCCATGAAAATAGAATTTAAAAGTTCAGTGGATTAAAAAAAGGTTACTTAAATAAGCGGGTAGTAACAGTTGGAAATTTGTGGAGAACTGCTCTTATGCTTCCTACTCCTTACTTGCGATTGAGTTTGTAAGGGTTCTGTTCTATCCTGTAGTTGCTGTGTAACCACAGGCAAGTTACCTAACATTTTTAAGTATCCGTTTCCACATCTTTAAAATGGGAATAATAATGTGTACCTCATGGGTTAGCCTGGTGATGATATAATGAAGTAAAAGAGATAAATAAAGGCATTAACACAGTTCTGGGCATTGTCAAGGAAGTTCTTTATCCTAGAGGTCATCACATTGGCTACACTGATGGTGTGAAAGCAGGAAAACTGGAAGCAGGTTGTTGCAATAACTCAAGCAATAGATAATTTCATGCTGGCTTTGGGATCTGTTTGATTTTTTTAAAACAATACACACTTTTGTACATTATAACAATGCCCCTAAACTGCCTTTGGAATTCTGAATTTGGACATTTGTACATCAACTAAGTCTGGTGATCTCTCAGGTTTGTTGCCTGCCAAGAGTTCAGTGTATACAACATTGTCATAGCAGTACAGCAGTTCTGGTTGGTTTATTGTTTTTTTGAACTTATTTGTCAAATGAGTAGGAGAGAAAAAATGCGAAATTACAGATACCAGTGATAATAAGTTTATGCCTCCTAAATATAATGAAATTGTGCTGAAAATTATAATTCCTAAGCTTCAATCAGTTGCTTATTGAATTTGAGGAGGTCAAATCTGTGTTTAATTGGAATGGAAAAAAACCCATGAAGAACACATACAAAAAGCTGGAATTATACTGTGTGAAAAGTGAGGTAAAATTAGGAGTTTTACACAGATTTTTTAAAGTCATTCTAATTATATATCTATGGCTTGATCTCCACATATTTGGTTATTATTGATGCACAGGTCATGAGTCTATGAGGTATGAAAATAGGATACTGCCTAGAGTTACACTGGGAGTTTTAATTAGTGCTGTTTATTATTGGATTACATGTAATAGTATTGCAAATAACTATATGCCAAGATGTTTCTTTTTTTGAGACTACAGAGTATGCTAATAATATATATTGAGTTTATGTGGAGAGAGATGAAATTAAGGTCTATGAAATTTAGTACTTTTTGGCATTTCAGCTATCCTAGGATCTTTATTTGGAAAAGAATAGGAGGGAGGGAAGGCTTTGTTAGCTCTCTTTATTTAGATGAGATCTGTTGTTCATCTTTCTCCATTGTCTTGGCCTCTGTTCTTTCAGTTCATTCAACAAATGTTTATTGAGCATTGTGTGCCAGGCACTATTCTAAGTTGAGGATGTGGCAGTGAACAAGACAGACAAGTGTTAAGGCAGACATAGAGCAAAAGAGGATAGGAAGTTGTGGGAGTTGTTGGCAATTTGGGGTAGTTTATAATTTTAGATGGGGTGGCCATGGACGTCCTCAGTGCGAAGGTAATAAAAAAGACCTGAAGGAGGTGAGAAAGTGAACCATGTTTATATCCAAGAAGGAGCATTCCCAGGGGAAGGAAAAGCAAATACACAGGCCCTGAGGCAAGAGCATGTCTGAGGAGCAGCAAGGGACCAGTGTGGGTGGAGTGAAATAAGTGAAGAGAAAAATAGTAGGAGGTGAGGCCAGAGATATGATGGCAGGAAGCTAGATCACATAGAACCTTACAGTTCAGAGCAAGGCCATGGCTTTTATTCTCAGTGAAATGGCAAGCAGAGGAGTGATGGAATCTGCACAATACTTCAGAAAGACCATTCAGACCTATGTTTTAAGAACAGAGTTAAGAGGGAAAAAAGAGCAAAAACAGGGAGACCAATAAAGAGGCTATTGCTGTAATCCAAGGGAGGGAAGATGTGGGCCTTAAGCTTGGTGCCAGTGCTAGAAGTGTTGAGAAGAGGTCAGACTGTGGATATGTTGTAAATGTAGTTGACAGGATTTCCTGAAAGATTGGATTTGGGCTTTCACTAAAGAAGGATGACTCTAAATAGCGTGGCCCCAGCAGTTGGAAAAATGGAACTGCCATTTGCTGAGACGGATAAAAGTGAGGGGGGGGGAGCATGTTGAGGGAAGGGAGATGGCTTTTAGGCTTGTTAATTTAAAAGCCTCTTAGATATTTACGTGGAAAGATAAAGAAGGCAGTTGGCCAAATTAGTCTGAATTAATGAGGTAAAATCCAGGGTTTGGATAAAACTTTGGGAGTTCCAAGCAGGTAGATGGTGTATAAACTGGTTACGATCACCAACGGAATGAGTGTACACAAAGAGTCCAAGGTTGGAGGTTTTGAGAATTCACCATTAAAAGATCTGAGAGAAGAGGTGGATCCAGCAAAGCAGAATGAGAAGGAGCAGCCAGTGAAGTGAGAAGTCTTCAGCCTCCTAAATGTTAGTTGGCAAATGGCAGATGCTCAGTAAATATTTGCTGAATGAATAGTGGATAAAGAGAACAGGGAATAAGACACTTCACTGTTCTCTTTATCTAGAAGCCGAGTAAAGATTTTAAAAGAGGAGGGAGTGATCATCTGTGTTAAATGCTGCAGATTGGCCAAGTAAGGTAGCATTGAGCATTAGGGGGTCATCAGCGAGCAGACAACAGCAGTTTTCATGAAGTGGTGGGGAGGAAAGCCTGATTAGGGTGGATTCAAGAGAAAATAGGGGGAGAGAAATTGGGTACTGAGTGTAAACACTCTTGAATTTTGCTAAAAAGAGAAGGAAACATAAATCATTTCAGATGCTCCTCTGGATTGATAGGACATAAGTTGCTGGTCTCATAAATGGAAAATGAGGATTCATGTAGACATAACTGAAGTTGTCTGAGGTGTTAATCTCATTTAGGCAAAGAAATAGAATGCAGAGGCAGGTGTCATTTATGTTGAATTTTGTATAACTTTAAACTGGGGAAATTATCAAAACAAAAATTCAAAAGAAAGTCAAATAATGGCTAATGATTACAATGATAGTTTCAGTCTAATAAAGACTGCATGCTACAGTTATGAACATGACTTCATGCTGTAGAGAGATGAAGATAAAATAAAAATGATTTCATATTTGTTAGTAGAAATTTATAACATTGATGATCAAAGGGTTAAAGATCTATGATCGTAAAGTACAGTTTAGTGTCAGATTTTGTGCTTTGAAACATTTATGTGATTCTTCTTCATTTCTGTTTTGATAAAAGAAAAGCAATTCTCTGTGATCGTGATAATATTAAGAATAATGGTTAACAATTAAAGAACCATTGTGATGTTCCAGACACTATTTTTGGTTCCTCACATATATTATGTCTTCTATTCCTTCTAACAGCCCATGAGTTATCACCGTAATTAGAATATAATGCACTGGCAGGATATGTAACTGTTGAAGACCACAGTGCGAGAGTCGGTACAATCCCAGGCGGCCTGCTCTGGAGCCCATTCTTGGAATCACTCCACTCCTCCTAACATATACACAGGGTTTCCAATTTTTGTTACCTTCGTTTTGTACATTTGGTAGAAACTTGCCAAGTATTAGTTTAAAATTGTGTGTGTTGACTAATTTGGATGTAAGACTGTTTCTAGATATGGTTATATATTACATTTACATTTCAGGCATTGGTTTCTTTACTGAGTAGCTCTGGGGAGAGAAAAAATTAGACATGATGTAGTCCTCCAAGGATTTCTGTTAGACTAGTTAAACACATGTGTACTTTTAAAAATGTTTGTTTAAAAGTCATGAAAGTTATACTTTAAAAAAATATTTTAGGGGTGTTCATGATTTTGAATTAAATTATGAAGTTTTGTTCTTGTGTGTCTGTCTGTATGTGTGTATATATAATGTATGTAGAAGTTTAGGTATATAACCCAACCTTGCCTTCTTTACCACTTTCGAAGCTTCATGATGACTCTTGGTGAGAAATTGAAACGAGGAAGAATAAATGTCTCAATACAAGTAACATACTTCCCCCACTCACTCATTATAGGGCATATTAAACCTCAGTAGGCTCTTCTGTTTCCAGCAAGCCTTCCAGGAAACTTCATTTTGCAGTCAATCGCATGTTCTCATGGGAACAATGTGCACTTGGAGATTGGACTTCTGTCCAACAACTTACACGTTTCTTTGGTGTTTACTCTGTTCCTGGAACATTGCTAGCCACTGGGTTATAGAGGCATTTAAGGCTTGGTCTCTCCGTTCCCTTGGGACTGAAGGCCTGGAAGAGAAAGAAAGATATATTTAAAATGTAAAATGTCACTACTTTGACTGTGGTGTTGTCTTAGAAAATATCTAGCTGTGTTTCCAAAACATTAGTGATCATATGTTACCTAGGGTAGTTGTTAAAATGCAAATTCCTTGTCCTAATCCTCAAATATCTATTCATTAGGTCTGTGGTAGGGCCCAGGAATCTTGCTTTAAAAAAATTTCCTGGGTGGTGTTGATGGAGATGATCCATGGGCTACACTGAGCAGTACTGTGTTCTGTGAAGAATAGGGATTTAGGAAGACTTCATAGATGAGATCATTCTGAAGGTGGCGTACTAGTTTCTTGTTTCTTAGAGTGGTGTGTGTGTGTGTGTGTGTGTGTGTGTATGAGAGAGAGAGAGACAGAGACAGGGAGAGAGAGAGACAGAGAGAGAGAAGAAATGAGAAAAAAAAGGACGAACAGGAGAGAGAAGGAGAGAAGGGTGGGTGTGTTAAATATACTGGGAGTAATGGAAGATTTGGGGATGAGGCAAAGCTCTTTGTCAAAAAAATTGTAGATATGACTGGTGGTATTTTACAACGGGAAAGATGAAGTACATACCTCTATAATTTACAGATAGGCAAGTCTGCTCTAAGTCCCAAATAATCAACATAAGCATACCATATATTTTGTTTACTAAGGACTCCAAAGGTTAGTATAGGGCACCTAAAGGACAACTTGACAATATCGTAAATCTCTACTCAAATTAATGTCCTAGCTAATTTTGTCTTAACACTAATATTACAGGGACTTTAGATATCTGCTTTGAATAGCCTATTTTTAGAAAAGAGGCTTTTATAGAAAGTTTAAGTTGCTGACTTCTTTCTGTCTTGATAATTTCCCCTGGCACAAATAAGGCTTTCAAAATCCCTCAGTGGATGTGAATATAGAAAGTACAGGATAATAAAGAGCTAAACAACAGGTAGAAAGCAGTGAGATATGAGATTGAAATCTTAACTTACACAGCGTGAATTGGATACATTGGTGAGAAATAATCAGGTAAAATGAAGGGATTACTTCTGTATTAATTAAGCAATTTCCATTATTTAAAAATCTTTGATTAGCTCGCTTAGTATATTGTATCTGTGAATCATAATACAATTGCTTGGACCTTTTTATCAGGTGAATTTGGCTATGATGAATAGATAAGTACTTTTATAGAATGTTTTTTGTCACCTATGTTTCTTTTCTATTGGTTGTTTTAAAATAATGGTAAAGTTAGACTTCCTTCATTAGTTGTGAAGGTGCCATATAATACTTTTTTCTTTTAAAATACCAAAAGTACATCCTTTTCTGATTTAATAATAGAAGGAGTCTTCAAAAAGTTAATGGAAGGATTTGTATTGTCTTTTAATTCTGTTTTTTCATGAACTTTTTGAAGTACCCTTGTAGTACTATGTATATTAAATGACGATTGTTTCTAGAATATATGTTCCATTTTGAAGCAGGAAAATTTCTAATTTTAAAATGGTCATTTCTCTTACATTAAGTGTGTTTTATCCTTTTACAGTTCTTCAGCATAATTAAAATTCTCCTTATCTTGTTTTTTTAAGGGTCTGAAAAGCCCTCCAGAGAGCCTCAGTGATCTTGGTGCCATTGAGAGTCTCCGGGTTCCTGGAAAGGTATCGATCTACATGTGTGAGCGTGACCTTTCACTTCCTTAAGAAACTGTTATTCCCTCTGGATAATGATTGATTCACAGAAGCATTTCTTTCCCACAGGCACATGGTTGTTGTGATAAGCTAGGTAAATTTTTGTAGTGCAGTAGGGGTAGGGCTTGTTTTTGCTTTCATTACTCATTGGGATGCAATATGATTCACTGTAGTAAAGCAAAAAATGCAAATTGATAAATTTGGAGTTTATTATATCAAATTCTTAGTTTAAAAGCAATTATAGATATATTTAACTTATTGATTTATCTGCTGTAATTTGGGGAAATAAAAAATAGTTTTCTTCTGACTTTCTGTACTCTGATGCTCTGAGCCAAAAATCATGGTTAATTATATTTTTGTTGTGGAGCAGAGATTTTTGATTAAGCAGTTGAAATGTAACTTACACTAGGTGGTACATATTTTAGAATTTAATCCCCTAATATTCATGTGAACTTCTCAATTTACAAATTTAATATGCATTATTGGAAAGCTAGCTGGCTTCCCCTCAGGAGAATTACTAACCGCTGTTAAATCCTTGCTGCTTCTCTGGAGTGTTGCAGCTTGGAGCTCCTATGTGAGTAGCAGCCCCATCACAGATTAAAGCTGGCACTTCTGAATGTCTGCTCTTGTGATTTTTAATTTTAAGGTCACGTTTGAAAGCACTGTTTATTTTCTGTGTCCAGCGTCTTTACACATAGTGCTTGTTTCTCTTGATCAACAGTCAAGTGCCTCTCCTTACCTTTAGTGTCAGCTGCTTAGGTGCATGACTTCTCATCTCTTTGAGGTACCTTACCTCCTAAAGGGTATTTTGTATTTAATGAGTAGCCTTTTATTTTAGGTCAGGTTCTCTAGATACTAAAAATTCTGACCAACCCCTTTGCATGAAATGGTTCAGATAAATACTTAAAGAGGCATTTTAGAATAGTTTTATATAATGTTTTTAAAGATTATTGAATGTGATAAAATGGGGAAATAAGAGATAACCATAAATCCTTGTTGACAAATAATTCTCTTTATTTCTTTGACTTCAGGAAAAAGATTATCATGCATTATGAATATGCCTTGAATTAGATTGCATTACATATTTCAGAATCAATGTCAAATTGATGAGTGAGCCTCTTTAAAAAAATACATGAATGTGTTAATAAGAACTTTCTGTTGTCTTTAAACCATAAGCCTTAATGTTTTTACAGTTGTGATAGGTAGTGAATTTATGATGCTCTCATTAATAGTCTTCTTACTGAGTCTTCACCCCTAACCCCATGAGTGACCACTGCTGTCTACTTTTGAGATCACTGGCCCTGGTAAGGGTGGCCAGTCTGGAATCACAAGGTCAGCAAATGTAAATGGTTCAGGGGAAGATTAGGCCTGGGGCATTGGTTTATTTGGCACATGCTAAGAAGCTTAGCTAAATTGTTAAATAGTTAATAGTAAAATAGGTATTAATGCTGTAAGCTTACATTTAGCCTTACTCTTAAGAAAGCCTTACAAGCTTCCTGGCCTGTTTTCTCATCTGTGAAAAGATGTGATTGGACTAGATTATATTTTGTAGCTCTTTTAGCTCTAATATTTTATACTTTCTATATTGTGATATTGGTAGGAGAAATATACATTCAGAAGAATGTACTGAGCAATGTTTTAGAAGATGAGTATATTGGTATCTGTATTAGAATTAGTACTGAAGTTTATAACTGAGACTATTGACTTTAGTGATTAAAACCTTTCAGTTTAGGATTATGTATCATTTAGGACAGATGTCTTGTGTAGGTGATACCAAGTATGACTCTAACCATGGATCTGCAAAATCATTTAGTTTTTCTTAGGTGCTCATGGCTAACAGTATTTTGCTGTGTTCTTTTTTTTCCTTTTTGTCTTTTTTTTACTGACCGGTAATGGGATCGCAACCCTCGGTGTCGCGCCCGCACCAGGGACTGGCAACGGGCTCGCAGCCCTCAGTGTTGCGCCCGCACCGTGTTCCCAGTGAGCGGGAACTGGTCTCCACATGGGACCCGGACCCTCGGCGGGAGCGCCACCGCGCTCCCAAGCGGCGCACTCTCCAGTGCGCCACCGGGCTGGCCCTGCTGTGTTCTTTTTAACCATTAATGAATTATGCTTCTCATGGCTTCAGATGCTTTGAACTTCTTAATCCATTGTTCATAGCAAATCATAAAAGATCATTCGCACAGTCTATTTGGCAAACATTTATGGAGCCAGGCATTTATTAATTATTGAAAATACAAAGAGGTACAAGACTCTGTTCTTACCTCAACCTAATGGGAGAGACAAGCAAAAATAGATAAACACAGAGTAGTATAAGATATAGATAATCACAAGAGAGGGTCTATATTTGAAGGTGTGCACGGTGGCAGCACAGCTAGGAGAGGAGTAGGAGTAGGTGGGAGGGAGTGCAGGGTCTCCTAGAGTTTGTGATTAATTTTTTAGAAAGATTTCAGGTATATGGGGTAGATTGTTGAGTGGAGGCTAGAGACCAGGATACTGATTAAGAAGAAGATAAAAAAATGAAGTGTAGGAAATGGGGAAGGGTTAAATTTGAGGGACATTAAAAACAGAATTTATAATTGAAGATCTTCTTAGATGTGGAAAGAACTTTAACTGGGTTTAAAGGTGCTATGATGTTGTCTTTTTTCAGAATAGATAGTATTTCTTCTTTTAGAGAGAGGGTCTGATGAGATGTTTGAAAACTAAAAGAAAAACAAAATTAAGATGTACACACTGGATTTTTCTGTCTGCATCTCAATTTGTGATGTGTCTTTTCTCCAGCATTGGCCTCTGAATGGGCAGGCATGTGGCAAACAGCTTACTGTTGTTCACTGAAGATGAGGTATATTTTTAACGATAGCTTTTAAAAAAATATATTGATTTCTTTAGAGCTATTGTCTTTAATGTTTTCCTTTTCATAGAAATAAATTTAGGAAAATACTTGTTAAAAACTATAACAAAGATCTGAACTTGGGTTGTATTTTTAACTATTGAATAAGAGAAATAAATAAAAATATTTAGAAGAGTACCAAGTATGAAATTTTTGCTGTCTAATTTTATGATTTTAGTCATGTTAATAACTCAGTAAATTTCTATGAATAAAATCAGTTTTAATTCATGATCTATTTCTTTAAAAAACAACTATGTGTAAGTTTGGAAGACATTCATTGTGTTGAAATTGATTAAAATACATTATTTTTTATCACTTAAGTGTATTGGGAAGCCAGATTAAAATAATGCCATACAATAACCTTTAATAAAAATTTTCTATAAATCATTTTGCTGAAACTTCCTTTCAAATTGCAACCTCACTAGTATTCCACTAGGTGGCACTGAAAGCCTGAAGAAAAACAGGATAGCCATTAAAGGCTATGTTTTATTTAAAACGCACACACTGAAATTGATGAACCGGCTACCTTTGATGGATTATTATTGTTGTTCTAGTGGGATTTTGAGGAAATGTGCTATTTCCCCACATAATCAGACATCTGGCAATTCATTATAAAGTTACGTGGTGTATGGTTTTAGGGTATATGTGATCTTGAAATAGGTTTTGAATCCTGTTTCATTTGGAAACATATCAAACCTATTTCTGTTTAGTGATTTGTGACTTTCATAACACTTATTGAATATTGAAAACTTCATGTTTTGTTCTTCCTTTTAGCTATGTATAGGTTTTGGTGGCTAAACATTTTTTGCTTTTAGTTAGAGCTCTAATGTGATGTTAAGTTTGATAAAAATATGGCTTCTGATTTTAGAATTTAACAGAATAGCTTGTTTGTGATTACTGAAGAAATGCTAACAGTAAAAAAAAAAAAGGCTTTGATAAGATTTGTTGTGGCAAACCCAAGTCCATGTTTATAAGAGCAAAATCTACCCCCCTCCTCATGCATTCTGCCATCCAGGTATACATATAGTCACAGGTATATAATGTGCACTGTGGTCTGATAAGCTAAGAACAGAAAGGGGAGTTGGTCTGCATTTCATTTTTTATTCTATAAATTTTCTTTGGAATTTTGAAATGAAATAATCTATGAAAATGAATATTTTGCATTCATTTTTTTGTTTGAATAAAAATCCACTATTGAAGATTAGGAATTTCCAAGCTATTCTGTGGGTTTGAAAATGGGGTTAAATTACTTTCCAAAATTAAAGAGAATATTGAGTTTAGTAATGGAAAGGAGAACTGTTAAGTTGTCCTGACTAATTTTTTACACTTACATAAATGAATAGAATTGAAGTCCTGAACTTGGGTTGGTAATTTTAATTTGTGTGGTATTTTGGATAATTTGAAAGTAGTGGTTAAATGCAAAATTTGTAGTCTCTTTTTTCTTTCCTAAACTTGAATACATTCCCATAAGAGAGGAACTCTTAAGTGGGAAATTGCTTTGTAAAGTTATTGTCTAGTTCCTTAGAGACCACAAATACACTAGAAATGTTTTGTAATACCTTATATTTGAAGGCTCGAATCATTTTATAGACTTGAATCCCCAGTTCTTATAAAACCCTTTGTTGTGATGTTGAGAGGAAAAGTGGCTTGGCTAAATCAGACATGTTGAGTAAAATTTCTGTTATGACTGGGTGTTTTTTTCATGTTTTATAAAGTTACATTTATGATGTGCATTTAATGTGTATGTTCATGTGGCTTTATTTCAGAGATGATCAAAAGAAAATAGGCTATGTACTATTATATGCAACCTTATGGTGTTTTGTGACTGCTGGCAAACACAGTCTCTAAAATATTGAATAACTTCTTTGTTGTCTACCACTCCCCTAAAATATTCCTGCTTGGTTTGTTATGTTAAGAAAATGTTGAATATTTATGCTTATTTTTGATATAAGCATCTGGCACAGCGATGTGTGTTAAGATACTTTATTTTTAGCAAAGGTAAAATATGGTTCTAATATATATAAAAATATACCAGATTTTCAAAACTCAGTTGTTGCATTTTCTTGTTTGTTGTGTACTTGCCGAGTCTCCCCCTGGTTATTTTTCTGACCTGAGGAGCCACACTTTATTGCATGAACCTGTTTATGCTTTCTTGATGTACTGTTTTTATTTATGCTTTGCTTTATATTTGTAACCCTTATTCCCCAATTTCTTAAATTTGAAATTCTGCCTGTTCTCATATTCTGCAAATGCCAGCTCTTCCATCAGCTGTGAACTCACTGTCCTTTGGCGCCCTTTATTTTGTTTATGCCTCCCTCATGTTCTACCTGTACTATCACTTGTTACTTTTTCATCTGACCCCTCCTGTTACTTCAGCAACTATTTGAGGGAAGAGCTGTATTTTACTGATCTTTGTTCCTGTATGAACTAGTATGGGAGATTTTTACGTAGTGGAAATTTAAGAAAAATTGTTTGGTAAATGGAATTATGTTGACTGAAAAAGGCAAGGTTTATAGAGCTTTGAAAGTAGGCAGGTTAGTTCCTAATGATAGTATGGGAGAGAGATTTGATTTGTTCAGTTTTGCCTTTTGTGCTTTTGTTTTCCCTCTTCTGCAATTAAATTCATTACTTTAATTGTAGTTTTTCTCCAGCTTTAATTCTGGGATGACATTGATATACTTTTTATTTTTATTTTAGGTGTAGTTGATTACCATTGGCAGGCAAGTTGTGGCATATTTGATAATGTATGGTTGTTGACAAATTATTTTTGTATTTTCAAGTTTTACAGTGCATTTATACCATTATTAATGTTAATACATGCTTATTAGTTTCTATGTGACACGAAACTTACAGTAAAAGTAAGTCCTTTTAAACATTTCATTAATATAGCAGCAGTTTGTAAGACAAGTATTTTACTCCAAACTTAGCTTAAATATCTAATATTATTGTCACTTTTTTTTCTTAAATACTTGTATTAATTTAGTATAACGAGTTTCATTTGGTATCCTTTTCCCTCTGATTTTGCCTTTTAAATTTTTCACAGGAAATCTTTTGTCCATTTTGTTTATGTAAAATTTTGCCTCCTACCTGTGTATTGGCTTGCCAATTTGGTTCTGTTTTAGGTGAAAAATTATGTATTTTTACACATCTCTAATTGCAGGATATCAGTTTATATTAAATTATGGAGTAATAGTGTGAAGAATATGCAGTCTAGCTGCTTCTGTTTACATGCATAAAATATTCCTAAATCATAGAAAAAGAAACCTTTTATTAAAAGTTGATAGAGGGCCAGCCCGGTGGCGCACTGCTACAGTGCGCCGCTTGGGAGCGCGGTGGCGCTCCCGCCGAGGGTTCGGATCCCACATACAGACTGGTTCCCGCTCACTGGCTGAGCGAGTTGCGGGCGCAACACTGAGGGTTGCGATCCCGTTGCCGGTCCCGGTCCGGTGCGGGCGTGACACTGAGGGTTGCGATCCGTTGCCGGACACGAAAAAAAGACAAAAAAATAAATAAATAAATAAAAGTTGATAGAAATTTTTGAGTATCAAAACAGGAATATATTGTCTTTTCATTTCTTTCTGTTTTATGTTTTTAAATTTATAATTGACTAAATTAATTTTACTTTGATCCATGATTATTGTCTACAATGCGCTTTAGCACAACGGAGCATGAAGATGGGGAGTAAGGAGAAATCTCAGTTCTCAAGAAGGGTGTAATCTGATTGAGCAGACAGCTCTAACAGTGATGAAACATTTGGATTAGGTAGATGCAGAATCTTCCAGCTACATGTGCAGTGCGACTACAAGGAACACGGTGATCTGTATTCTTGTCAGAATGGAGTTTGTCTGAATGAGTTAAGATGTATATTTTTACATAGGAGCCACCAAATTCTCTGAAAGAAGAGGGCATTTAATAGGGATATAGTGTTAATTTGGGGCATTTGTTCTGAGTTGACTTCTACTTTGTGTGCTATACATTTCTTTTCCTGCCTTTCTAGGTTTTCTCTCTCTTCTTAGTGCAGATTTCTTACACTTGGAGTGTCAGATGTTCCATGTCACTTCTTTGAAATTATATGGGTTTGTCTGCTCTCTGTGGTATAAATTGCTTAGTACTCTAGGAAGGAAGCCTTTGACCTTTTATATAAAGATTGTACTCTTTTTACAGATTCATCACATTTTTGAAATTTACCGTTGTGAGATATTTATAAATGAAATTATGTTTTCCCTTTGGCATTACTAATAACTTTGGATATTTGTTTCACTGTCATTTTGAGTGTGTGTGTGTGTACGTATGCCCTTTACAAGTGACAAAAACTTGGCATGAAGAGACTAAGTAAGTTGCCTAAGGTTAATAGCAGAATTGGAACTGAAACCTAAGTGCCTTTATCTTTAGATCAATCAGTTAGATACTGTATGGAGAACCTCAGCATGGTGTTACACGTCATTGTCATTTATACATTTAAGATGAAAGTACTCAATCAATGTAGTCTATTTGAATTTTTGGCTTGGCTCAATACCTGATGCTTTTCAATCTTAGCAATTTTTGTAGTTTTTATATGTATATTTTTTGAATGATATCAACTGCATTTATTTGCTTGTGGTAGTGTAGAATTCCTAGGGAGGCAACATTGCTATATCCTCACTTGGATCTTATTTCCTCCTATGCTTGTGGCATTTGAAGCTGGTATTTCAAATGCCTATGGACTTTTAGGGAGGGAGAGTGCCAGATGTTTCTGACCTCTTCCATTTCATGTCTCACTGTCATTTCAAATTTCCATTGCATACGTGGATGTTGCCTGTTGACAAGCTAGTTGAGAATCTTCCCTCCCACAAGTGGTGTGAGTTTAATCCAAGTCTGTGTGTCAGTACCATTGTCCAGAGTGCCAGACGGATTAGTGTGTTGTAGATAAACCCCCAAAGGAGTGCAGCTCCCACTGTTAGGATGCTAGGTTTCTTATTGTACTTATAGTATCTAATTGCATAGTGAATTGATGATAGCCATATCTTTGATCTTTTTTTGTTCGTGTATTTTATAAGTTGAGTTTGGTACAGAAGAGGCATTCCCTTTTCCATGCATTTTTGATTCTGCAGGCTTGATTTTTATATAATTTTGCCTTCTCTTTTAAATTTATTGGAATTTTAAATTTAAACAGTTAACTGTTCTCTTGAGTTTCAGATTTATTGTCCTAATATTTTCTTTTAGCTTGAACCTAATAGGGGATAATTGTATAGTTAATAATTTTTACAGATATAAAATATAAACTCCAAACAATACTCAAGTTAGACTCTTTGTAAATGAAAAATAAGCCCTGCAGTAAAATAATCTAGAATATCTCTATTTGGAAAATAATGTCCTTTAGCTGACCAGATAATTTTTGTGTGTTTAATTAGTAATGATTCACTAAGATTTTTGTTAAGTATTATTTTAATGACTAAAATGATTTTAATAATAGTTTCTTTTTGTGTATATAAATATATTTGAGGTTAATTTGAATAAAAAATCGAATGGCTAACTTGTTATATGTTTATAATAATGTCTTGATAAACAGGTGTGGCAGGGGAGTGGTATCTGAATTATTGAAATTTCCCAGTTAATTGAAGGTTTATCTAATTATGCAATGAACTGTCATAGGATAATGGTGCTGACATTAGGGGTAGGGATTTATTTGTCTGTCACGCTTTTTTTTGTTGCATAAATCCACAGAAGCCCCATTCTGTATCATTAGAAAGAAAGCATTTTATCAAATGCAGAGCTTTAGGTTTATAATCAGATTATTAATTGCAGCATCAGTACACTTTGAAGGAAGTTTTATAAAATTACTGAGCTAAACTTGAGAACCTTTTCTGAAGCCAGTGTTTCTTAGCTGAGCTCTGAGATTTTTAGCAGAGTCGGGTGTCTGCTGCTCAGGGTTTGAATGCTGATTGTGACCCAAAAGTCATTGAGGTGTTGTTTTTCCCTTGTTATCTGTGATGAGACATTTTTAGAATGATGTTAAATGGTAAAATGTGTGTATATGTAGTATTATTTATAATAGGTTTAGGAAGTCACCTTTGTTTTTTTCTTTTGTTAAACATTTAAATTCTTTCAACCTTGTTGGCACACAGGGAATTGAGAATAAAATCTGAATCTTCAGACTGGCTAATTTTTTCTCCAATAGCAGTTTTTAGTGTTTTGCTGTTTTATAACTTTTCATGAGCTTTTCTGGCTTTTATTAATTTGTATCCTTGGTCAGAATGATCCCCAGAAGATACGTGATTGTTAAGACAGATGATCATTTATTTCCACAGACCATCATTTATTTCCATGCAGATGGAATTTTAACAGCTACAAGAACCATAAATTGTGACTTTTTTTTTCTTAAAGGAAGAATTCAGGGAACTTCGAGAACAGCCAAGTGACCCTCAAGCTGAACAAGAGCTAATTAATAGTATTGAACAAATATATTTTTCTGCAGACTCGTTTGATGTCGTTAAATATGAGCTGGAGGTAAAAAAAATTTCATTAAAATATATCTAAAACCTTTTTTTTGGGTGATTGAATTTGTGAGATTTGAGTGCTTTTAAAAGGGGCATTTATATATATTTTTGATACCAAAACCAGGTCTGTGATTACCAGATTATGATTAAATGAACTGTCTGCATTGTTTAAAGATGAAATTATTTTAAAAAATGTAACTTCTAAGTGCACCTGTAGAATATTGGTCAGGGAAACATTTCTGTATTTTTGGTTTTCAACTGTTAGCATCCAATATGTTAGTGTGCTGCTGCTATCATCTTTTATATTGGCTGAATATGCTTGGAAATGCTCTGAGACTTTAAATCATGAACATGTATTTACATAATTGTTTAGTTATGATAAAAACCTCTCTGCCATAATGTTTCCAATACCAGCATTTTAAATTTTTATAGGAATTAAAAAAAAAGTCAGAATAGTAAAATTTGATTTTAGACAAAACCAAACACAGTATGCACACATACTTTATCTGCAGTACATACAAAGTCAGTCAGTCCCCACCTTATTCTGAAGTTCATCAGTTGACTGAGACTTGGAGTCTGTTTCCCCATATACACAATGATATGCATTTTTTGTTAGTTTCCCATATTATCCTCTGAAAGCTGGTATAATCTAGAATGTAGTTCAACAACTATCACTGTCACACTGTAGTACTTCATTACCATTCATAATATTTCAGAGGGGAAGTCTGTCATAGACAAGGAGGGATATATCTGTGGCCGATAGAGTGGGGATTAGGGTTAGGGACTTTTCTTACCTCCTCCTGTCACAAGTCTTGGAAGCAATATCTCCTAGCCAGGAGCTAAGGGCCCCAATGATAATGGGGTTTTCTGGAGGTCAGAGTAGCAGCAGTGGGAGTAGCAAGGCTGGGTTACGGATGGAACCAGAGGGTTGTGTAATAAGCCTGTAGGCTTTTGTGGCTGGAATGTAGTGAGGGGCATTGGAATGACAGGAAAAATGGAGGGCGATGGGATGTGACACTGTTTTGTATGCAGATTGTAGTTCACTAGTCAGAAGTGCCCAGGTGAATAAAACCAAATCAAACTATTTTTTACTTTTCATTTATGAATTTTTCTATAGAAGCTCCCGCCTGTTCTCAGTTTGCAAGAATTAGAGGCGTACAGAGATAAATTGAAACAACAGCAAGCTGCAGTAAGTAAAAAAGCCCATATCTTTCTGACAAAACTGTAAATGAAACACAGCAGAGAGGTGTAATATTTGCAGATTTTGTGGTTTTAACTAATATATCAACATATAAACAAATTCTGTTTTTTAACATGACTTTGACTCAAATGACATATTTATATTAAAATTTAATGCCTCTGCAGTTTTCCTCATGTTACTTTGATAGTTTTGCTTCTAGAACTTGGAGTTGTCTCTTTGGAATCCTAAATGTGATTAGAGAAATTTGCACTTTTTTTCAGATTAGTGAGTACCTTTAGGCTCCTTGTCATGAGTGCATGACTTTCCTACCCTTAGTTTTGTAATGGAATATTCTTATCTCAGAATAAAGGTCCCTACTTCTACTTGAAATAGGTTTAAAGAGAACACAGGACTAAGAATCAGAAAGTCTGAATTGTGGTCACTATTTAATTATGACATTGGGCAAGTCATTTAACCTTGCTAATTTCTTTTGTTTTATCTGTAAAGTGATAGCTTAGGCTTGAATTTTCTCTAATGCTATAAAATTCTGTGATTTGATAATTTCCTTATGTTAGGCTGTGAACTCATTTTATGAAATTCAGATTTCATTGTAGAAGGTTAATGATAGCCTGTGGTCTTATTATTTTTTTTTAAACTAAAGGAACAGTAGTAATAAATTTATCTATTTTTTATTTAATATATTTTTAATAATGCATTTGGCAAATAAAGATATTCTTTTCTTTTCTGTTACTCCCAATGGTCTCAGTGGGAGCAGGGGTCTCCCTGGGGGTAGCAGTGGTGGTGTAAGGTAGGCTTGGGCAGGTGAAGGGACTTGAGCTCTAGAGAACTGTGTAGTAAAACTGTGCTTTTGGAGAATGAGATTTCAGTGGATGGTGGCATTTTTTGCCTTCTCTTGGCATGTTTAAATAAGTACTCTTCCATATGTATACATTATGTGATAGTATTCTTTTGGGAATGAGCTGTATCACAAGGGCTGTGTATCATAGTGACCTCTAGAATTTGATAAACCTGGGCCTGAATCCTTGCCTTGCAACTTACTGACTGTGGGACTGTGGGTGAGTTACTATTACTTTTAAGATTGCTCATCTGAAAAATGAGAAAGTATGGAACCCATCTCAGTGGGTTGTCAGGAGTCCTGATTGAGATAATGTAAAAAAAGCACTTAGTACATTGCCTGGCACATCTTAGACTCACAATAACCACATTGTCTTTTTTTTTTAAAACCCAATTCAGTAGAATTAAGTGAATTTCTGTCTGTGTACATCAATACAAATTCATATACATCAAAATATGTGGTAAAAAGCTAGAGCTTGCTGATTTCATTTTCTTACTTGTGGCTCCTATTTGACTTTTTCTTAATATTAATATTAAGAAATTAATAGTAAGGATTAATATCAATATTTCTTTATTAATTGTAGTCTTAAAGCTAATAAAGTTTGATTTCCTTAGCCTTAATGCAACCCCTCTTTCTAGACCAAAACAGTGTATCTAGAAAATAATTCACATAATTGGAAAGATGCTTGAAGTAGATTAAGAGAACGTGAAAAGATTAATGCAGTAGTTTAATATGTGTACAATATTTCGTTCTCAGGGCCTGAGGCAGGGGAGCCAATTGTGTTTCTTGAGCAAACACTCACATACTTGGTGTTAGATTTGGTATCTCCATAGTGTAGTTGGCCAGGCCCTGAAATCATGAATAGGAACCTTATGTTTAAAATCATAACTCTAACTTGCATACATTAACATTATTCGTGGACATTAACATTATTCATGAAATTGGCCAATAAAACCTTAGATATCTTCATAGCATTCTAAAAAACGTGTTTTTCAGCTTTTGAAGATCAAAGTACATGTTTGTTATCTTATGTGGTACAAAGGCTATAAAGAGTTTGAGCAGTTCTCTGTTTCCTAGATATTGTCTCCATAAAATCAGTTGATTAGAAATTTATTTGTTTTAACAAATTCATCTTTTAAAACCAAATCCTCTACCCTTACAGATTGTTACACTTTCATGCATGTTAGTTAAATCATATAATGATATTCATTAACAGTAATAATGACCATTTATTGAGTTTCTATTAAGGAACAGGTACTATGCTATGTGCTTTATTATACTACCTCTTTTACTAATTTCATAGCCCAGGGAAATGTGTATGGCCATAGCATGCCAGTATCTGCTCTAGAAGTTACTGGGAAGACCTATGGGATATTCTTGCAAAAAATTTAAATGTGAAATAGAGGAGAAAGCATGAAGCATTTTTCTTTTACTTCCTTCATTTGACTGCATATTCTTATAGGTCTCTAAAAAAGTAGCAGATTTAATCCTTGAAAAACAGCCTGCCTACGTAAAGGTAGGATAATGTTTGTTATTTTTTATAGTAAAATTTTAAAAATAGTTGAGTGATTTACAATTGAAACTGTTGAAATACTGTAATTTTTCTTTTGTCTATAGTTCTATAGCAAAATATTTACTCTGTTTGGGGTGTGTGTGTGTGTGTGTGTGTGTGTGTGAATATTTTTCTCTCTCATTTGGGGAATTTACCAAACTGAAGAAGTGAGAGTTTTTAATATATGATTTGAAAGTGATCTCTTTGGTTTTACAAACTTAAGAAAAGCCAGTAAAAATTGCTCGCATGAACTTTGTAACAAACACAATAATGTAACAGAAGCAATAATGACCACTCAATGGCAATATAGCAATTTGGATTAAAAATAAGATAAAATTGGAACTGTCTAGGTGAATCTGTGTTTTGATCAGAAAATCAGAGCCTTCAGAATCAGTTGAAGTGCCTACCAGTGTTTAAAAGAAAGCACTCATTGTCAAAGCATCTTTGCAAACGGAAGTCATATTTGTCATATCCTTAATTACCTTGTGAAAATCTGTTGGGTAGAAACATTTAAATGGATATATTATTGGTATTTGTTCCTGTCTAAAACAGGTTAAATCTAGATTAACTTACAAGCAATACCAACTAAATATTTTGTCATCTGTCATCGTGAAAATCAATTGAAAGTTATTTTAAATTATTTCATGAAAAATATACTAACAGTTTTCAAGCGCAGGTATTTTTGTTGCTACTTTGTTTTCCAAGCAGGCTTTTGTTTTCAAAACACTATAGTTTTTGTTAGGGTACCATACAAATAAGAAAAAAAAAAATGCCTTGAACAATAACCTGTATCTAATTTTTCCGTAGGAACTCGAAAGAGTTACCTCATTGCAGACAGGTCTTCAGTTAGCTGCTGTTATCTGCACAAATGGGAGGAGGTACTGCTTTTGATGAAATTTTGTTCTTTAGGCTGGAAAGTATTTCAAGAATAACTATGAAATCTATCTTTGATAATTGATTTTTTATTTTGGCTATGGTTTCTAGAATACCATTTATTAAGTGAACAATATATTATGATCTGAAAACTGCACTAAGAGGGTATGTGGGAAATATCTATTAATCTATTTATGGGTTAAAAAATATTGCTGTTTTTGTATTGTTTAGACTAATGCTTCTTAACTTATTTGTGGTATGGGACCACTTTTTTTTTTTTCTTTTTTCATTTCCAACCTGTCACAGGCTGTTGTTTTTGAAAATGCAATAAGAACAAATTACCAGAAAAATGAAATAAAAAAACCAAACCAAAACAAAGACATACAACATGGTCCAAAGATTTTTATTATTAGATTCACAAAGAATAAAATTATTCTGTCAACTTTTGTACTCTTTTTAAATGCTATTACTCAATTACAGAAATTTCTTGTCATGGATCACTAATAGTTTGTGGATTGAAACCAGTCCACCTACCGTGTTTTGAGGAATTCTGCTTTAAAGTGAGCCCTTCAATATATTTATCAAATAGTAGTCACAGTCCCCAGTTTTAACAGTAGTTCAGGTCAGTACTTCATTAGTTGCCTAATTGTTCTGTGTGGATAGTATTCTTATTATACTTAAAATTTTAACTATTTATTTTTTACTTTTACAGACACTTGAATATTGCCAAGGAGGGTTTTACTCAAGCTAGTTTAGGCCTTTTTGCAAATCAGAGGAAACGTCAGTTGCTGATTGGACTTCTGAAGTCTCTGAGAACTATAAAAACATTGGTATACACAGGTCAATTTTTAATAATTAGAACTTAATTTTGTGATTGAAACAGGTTTTATCTCTGATTTTTGTTTTTACAGCAAAGAACAGATGTACGCTTAAGTGAAATGCTGGAGGTAAGTTAACAAGGCTTAGAAATTTGGTGATCCTAATAATATTATATAGAAAAATTTAGACAATTCGGATGTGTATTTTTCTCAAGTTGGTATGTGTTATAAAGAGTGTTTTTAGACATGTAAAGTTATTTGCTGTAGAGCCTTTTTCTTTTGACATAATACATACTTCATTTATAAAAACAAATTTATTTGGGGAAACATTTATTTTGTAGAAACACTGAAATGTTAACTTCAGTCTTTTGATTGTATTGCATCCAAATAGCAATAAAACTATCTTTTGTACCGAACATGTGGTAATGATTTAAGAAATGTGTGATATTTTAGTTATATTTAGTATCTCATATATTAATTGGTTTTCTGAGTGAGCCTTCTGTTTTCTCATTGATGCTTTCTTAGCATTCTTTATCTACTTCTGTCATAAGGTTTATCAAAGCATAATGTAATGTATGAGTTTCCCTATAATATTAGAGTTCCTTGAGGTAGGTACTTTGTCATTCTCAGCACCCACAGTGGTTTGAATTGTATCTGTTGAATTTTGATATGAGGATCGGGGAAAGTTTTTTGTGGTTTTCTGTGTAATTGTTGTATTACTTCTAAACTATTACTACTAAACTAGGGTTTGAGATATCCATATGAAAATTCATTTGGCATTACATTACTGTTTAGGGGCTAAAAATATTCTGAGGTTATTAATATTTTACTTTTTCCTAAATTTATTTCTTTAGAAATATTTTTCGATTTCTTGGTTGGTAGAATTGTTGACTGTTGATGAGAAATAGAATGCACAGTGTTTTGGAACATATTATGTAAACATTACTGAAAGAAGATATGTTAACAGTTAAATAAGACCTTCCCTGTGAAGCAGCTTAATCCTATGTAGGCTTTATCCATAAGTCATGGTCTCAGACAGCTGTTCCTGTGTATTAGAGGGAACAGAATATTTTAAATACTTTTTCTATGCATACATTTTAGGCCTGGAGCTAGTGGCCTCTTTATATTTTCTTATTTATTTATCATTGGTATTCTAATCCTTGTTTAAGAGGAATTAAAATTTTTTGATTCTGTAATTTTTGGTTGGAGTATGAACAGAGATATATTTTTATCAAAGGTGTTAAGAAAAATGTTTCCAGTCTAATGAGTTCTGTTGTTATCTTAAGGAGGAAGACTATCCAGGAGCTATTCAATTGTGCCTGGAATGTCAGAAAGCTGCCAGCACTTTTAAACATTACAGTTGTATAAGGTAAGGTAATATAAACATTGTAAAGCTGATTCTATTGTTAGTTTTTTATGTGGGAGTTGTGTAACATACACTGTTAATAAACACTGGAAGTTAATATAAAGTACTACGTTCTAGTTTAACATTTCATGTTCATAAGTGAGTAGTACAATAAAGTTATGAAAGTTCTTAAGTTGTGAAAGAGTAAATATGTTTTAATCATGCCTCTTCTTGTCACTTCATTGAAACTCTTTTTCATATTCTCTCCAATGTGATTGATTTCATTTTTATGGAGTAGTAGACAAGAATAAATTCATTTGTTCACGTCTACTTTGCATCTCTTAGTCATTCTTCCTCCTTAACTTTGCCCAGCTTATAAATATTGAGAGTAGTATTGCAGCTTGTTTTAAAGATCCACATGATTCTAGTGTTTGGCTCATTATGATAAGAAGTCTTTTGGAAAATTTAAGTATGATTTCAGTTTACGTAATTATCATTTTTGTAATTTTTAAGTTATGTTTTTAATGTATTATATCTTTTGTTTAATTATGGTAAAATGTACAGTGCAAAAATGGCTGCTGCATCTTTTGCTTTTAGTTCTAACTTCATGAATAGATTTTTGGTTTCCTTGAAATGAAGTGTCTGTATTACTTGTGACAGTTCCTTAGGGAGGCTCTAATCCCTAGGTGTCATTTCCATCATTCCTCTAAGGCCATCACAAATAAACATACAATCTAAGTAAAATAGTGTGCTTGTGAGGCAAACCCAGTTTCAAATTAAATCCATACCTATCCCAGGATGCAGTCCCTTTGTCTCTCCTCTATGGAAATTCTGGCAGTCAGTGAACATGGCTCACTGATGTTGTAGATGTTGATTCTAGTATCTGAAAAATAAAAGGATTATGATAGAGTAAAACATTAATACAGTTTTGAATTAATGTTTTTCTTTTAATGTACTCTCATATCATAGGTCTTTGCTGGGTGTAAACTAATGGCTAAATAATTTCCTCCCAGAGATGGTACTTAAGTATTTATGGTATTATTTTTTTATTTAGGATCATGCAGATTGAAGCAACACACTTTTTTATTTGATTAGGATATATATATAGATGGGTAGTACCAGTGATATTTTGGTTTTGTCCAATTTGAGAGTGATTAACTGTCATTATTAAAAACCAGATGATGTCACTTACACTTAATAGATTGAGTGAATAGAGAAGTAGCTCTAGTATGTTGAATGTATTTGGAAATTTCTAACAATGAATTCCGGGTTGTGAAAAAACATATAGCATCCTTTTAGTTCATCTTGTGGTGATAAATCTGTTACAGTGGTAACAGCTTGTTTATTAGGTGAAAATGATTCAGGCAGTTATATATTTACTGAGTGTTTACTGTGTGCCATGTGCTTTGCTTTGAAATTGGCAGTATAATGGTGAACCATACACAATATTATCAATATAATTCCTGGTTTCATAGAGAACCTAGTCTATCAAGAAGGACTTGCAAAGAAGGCACAAGTGGAATTGGGCCTTAGAGAGAAGGAAGTTCAGCATACAGTGGAAACACTGGGCTCTAACTCTCCCTGGGGGGGATCAGGACTAAGGAAGACCTGAAAGAGGGATAGGAGGAATAAGCTAGGCCAAGATCTGAAGAGTTATGGATAGGAAATTCTGGGTACCGTGAATGAAATCTTTGTTGCAGAGATGCCAAGCAATATGAGGACTGAAAATATCTGTTGGATTTATAGCAACAAAGAAGGGGACAGCTTTGGTGGGAATTGGTTGAAGTATAAGTGTAGGATGAGGAAATCTTGTGAAGAGGGGAGATGTGGAATTAAGAGAGAGAGAAACCTGAATATTTGAAAATAGATGGGAAAAGAGTGAGAGGTTGAAAATAATATAGAGAATATAATAATATGCCAAGGCTTTGCAGGGATTATAGCAGAGATTGACTTTGAAAAGGTCACCCTCTATTTTAATAGAAAAGAACTTGAGTGTGGAATTTGGTGGAAGGAAATTGAGGGAGCAGGTGATGTGTTGAAACTTTATATTTTCCATTAATTAAAAATTCTATTTTAGCTATGCTAAAGTAAATATCTTATGTGACGAGACTTAACTATAAAAAAAAGTCTTTGAAAGAAAATCTTATTTGGGTTTTTTCAAGTTAGTGTGAGGTGGCTTCTAAGCACTTTTTCATTAATGTATGCATTGATAAGTGGTGTGGCTATAGTTATCAGACATGTAAAAAGTGAAATCGAAAAGATCTGTAATGACAATTTAAATTAATATTGGTTTTATTTTAGATAATACAGTATCTAAGAAGCATGCTATGTTTACATATCTGACTCATACGTATAGTAGTAAGAAAAGTTTGTCTTATTCTCTGCAAACAAGTAAAAATACATCACAGATACATTCAAGGAATATACTGTAATGGGATTTTACCTTATGTTTCTCAGGAAATCATTTAGATCAAGTTGTGTTTTTAACTTGATGACTTAGTGACAATTTCAGCGCGGCTTACAGAACTATCAGTTGGAGCTGTGTGTGGTGATGGGAGCACCTCTGCCAGCAGTTTTTCTCCCCTGCACAGTGTCCTTTGCTAGTCATCATTTACCCTGCCTAATGCCACTCCTCTTTCCCTTCACCTGTTACTTTACCCTTTTGTTTCTAGTTGGGCAACATGGTAAGTTTGTTCACTTCTTTTGTAGATAATGTGATGTAGGATATAGGGATAGGATTAGTTGATATGTGGGAAAGGTTGAGTCCACAAAGATGAAAGACATTTGTTCTAAATTTTTTTTATTAATTATATGCACCTCTTTTATTCTATGCATTTGTTTTTTTTCTTTTTTTCTTCTGGTCTTCCGAACACAATGTTGTTCTTGAGCACTGTAGTTGGGCCTGTTCAGACAGTGTTTATCAATACATTAAAAATTCATTTAATTTGGGCTGGCCCGGTGGCGCACTGGAGAGTGCGCTGCTTGGGAGTGCGGTGGCGCTCCCGCCGAGGGTTCGGATCCCATGTGGAGACCGGTTCCCGCTCACTGGCTGAGCGCAGTGCGGGCTTAACACCGAGGGTTGCGATCCCGTTGCCGGTCCCCGGTATGGGCGTGACACCGAGGGTTGTGATCCCGTTACCGGTCAGTAAAAAAGACAAAAAAAAGGAAAAAAAAAAAAATTCATTTAATTTGCCTGGTCTTGAGAAATTTAGCCAAGGCAAGATTTAATCTTTGCTTGGACCTGAGTGAATCAGAGTGAAAGATCATTTGACACTCTGGTAATCATAGGATTAGTAATTAATTACCAATTGAATTTACATGTTCTCATTTTTCTTAACACTTAAATCTATTTTCATTCCTGTTGATGACTAGAGAATTACAAATAATTCCCTATAGAAGTGTCCTTTAAGAGAACTACCCCATGATTTAGAGCATTTCTGGATTCTGGTGTGATTTTTTTTTTTTTTTTAATGTTTCAAACAAGTTCATATGCACAGTGTATCTGCCTGTCTGCTCCTTAATTTCTCCTTGGTAGATTGCGTGTTCTTTTCTTTCCTAGTCACATCACTCCTTTATTGGAAAAAAGGTTTCTGATAGAGGGCAGAGACCCTGTGGTCTTAGGAGAGGTACTTGGAGTAGATTAATGGAACAACTTTGACTTAGGATTCTGAAAGTAGGAAAAACAGAATTCAAGTACTTGCTTCTGTATAAAGAGATATTGACTGTATATCTAGTAAGTCTCAGATGTTATGACTATGTAATTTGATACACGAAGTGCCAAGTACAGTAATATCATGATACACCTAGTTGGTTGAAAAGTGAAAGAAAACTGGTGCCTCTTCTGTACCTTGTGTCTTCCTTGAGATGTTCTGTGTTTCAGCATCTTTAATAAGAGATACTGTAACAGCACTTTTGTTTACTTTTATAAGTGACAAAGAACATTTTTATATTATTTGACATTTCTTCAGTTGATTGACAGAGTCATATAGTTGGGGCTTACTGGGAATAAGAATCAGAATGTGTTTCCATTAAAATGTGTCTGTGAATGAAACATTTAATTTCTTTTTCACTTGAAATTTATCTAAATTAGTTTCAAAACAAGTTATTTTTAAAGTCAAAACTGCTTTATTTTTATTCTTTGAGAAAAGCAACTTGAGGGAACTTGAGCATTCTGTATTATGCACTGAAAAGTTTGCATACTATCAGAACTAGTTTGGTGAGTACTCTACTTTAATGTAGACATATGTGTTTAATTTCTCATAATCTTTAAAGTATCTTTTTATTTTTTCTTAGAATATGATCATGGCAGTTTAGTGAAAACTGCAGATTGAAGAAGTTCTTTCAGTCATACAGTAAATGAACATAGCTTTTATCTACAAGTATAGCAGTATTAGGGACTTTTCTTCTTCTATCGCCCTTTAAACCTTTCTAGCAAGATATGCCTGCTTTTTCTTTCTCTAGGCTCAGGCCAAGGACCACCAGCAACTCTGCCTCCAGTAATATTTGAACATTGAGTGTTTCTGCTGGGTCACCAGGCCTATTAGCTACATCCATTGCCTTGATCCCAAGTCCCTGTTGCTTGTTCTACTTGGACCAAGTTATTAATATCTTGCTACTCTGACATTGCCTGTAGTCATTATCTTTTAGGTTAAATTATTTTCCTTTGCCTCCATCCCCCCATGCTGCATCATTTAAAAATAATGAAAAATGATATCTGCACATGGCAAAAAACATAATATTTAAATAAAAGGTTCTTAAAAGTTAAAGGTTTTTCTTTCTGCCACATCCACCATTCCTTTCCCTACTCCCAGAAGTAGACCACTTCTACAGCTTATTATTTTTTTAGTAGATTTCATTGTAATTTAAATACTACACTAAAATATCTTTCTCCTGATTTATCATTGTAGATAGTTGTCTGTTGATGCCCCATCTATTTAATCCCCATAACAAGATATCAATAAGAAATAGGAATTTGATATACTTCCTTTCCTTCTTTTCCTTCTCCACTTTCTAGGTTTCTTTAG